GATAACAGGAATATACCTCAACATAATAAAAGCAATATACAGCAAACCAACAGCCAACATCAAATTAAATGGAAACTCAATGCAATTCCTCTAAAAAGACAAGGCTGTCCACTCTCTCCATATCTCTTCAATATTGTCCTTGGAGTTCTAGCTAGAGCAATAAGACAACAAAAGGAGATCAAGGGGATACAAATCGGAAAGGAAGAAGTCAAACTCTCACTATTTGCAGATGATATGATAGTCTACATAAGTGACCCAAAAAACTCTACCAGGGAACTTCTACAGCTGATAAACACCTTCGTCAAAGTGGCAGGATACAAGATTAACGCAAAAAAATCTGTAGCCCTACTATATACAGATTGGTGGAGAAGGAGCACGGGTAGAGGGGGGAGGGAGCTAGGAGAATGAGAAGGGGAGAAGAGGAGGGATGCAGAGGACATGAGGGAGCAGAAAGGTTGAGTCATGCGAAGAATAGAAGATAACAAGAATGGAAATGTCATAATAGAGGGAGACATTTTAGGTTTACAGAGAAATCAGGCACTAGGGAAATGTCTGGAGATCTACAAAGATGACACCTGCTAACAATCTAAGCAACAAAGGAGAGGCTACCTTAAATGCCCCCCCCATAATGAGATTGATGACTGACTTATATGCCACCCAATAGCCCTCATCCAGCAGCTGGTGGAAGTAGAAGCAGACACTCAGAATTAATCACTGAACTGAACTGGAATCCAGGTTGCAGAGAAGGACAAGTGAAGAGCAAAGGGGTCCAGACCAGGCTGGTGAAACCACAGAAACAGCTGACCTGAACAACGGGGAGCTCTTGGTCCACAGACTGATAGCTGGGATACCAGCATGGGATTGATTCAGACCCCAGGAACATGGGTTTCAGTGAGGAAACCTTGGAAATCACTTTGGAAGCCCATCCCACATACAGGAATACTCCCTGAGCCAAGACACACAGGGGTGGGCCTAGGCCCTATCCCAAAGCATACGATAGACTCTGATGACACCCTATGGAAGGCCTCACCATCCAGGGGGAGCATAAAGGATATGTGATAGATAGGGTTTTAGTTGGGGGGGGATGGTAGGGGAGGATGGGAGGGAGAAGGGAACTGGGATTGTCATGTAAAACAATCTTGATTCTAATTCAAATTTAAAAATCTGCAAAAAAAAAAAAAGAAAGAAAGAAAGGTGGGTGGACTTAAGATATATAACACAGTTGGTAGGTAGAGGACTTGGTTTGAACCCTAGCAATGCACAGTTTATGGTGGCATACATCTATAATCCTAGAACATGGGAGATAGAGAAAAGCTGAAGATCATCCTTAGCTACTTAATCAGTGTGAAGTCACCCTGAGATACATAAGATCCTGTCAAAAAAACAAAAAAAAAAAGAAGGAAAGACAATAAAAAAAAAGATTGAGAGAAAACAGTGCTACTACACAAAAGAACAAAAACATCCTACCTGCTTCAACCTCATGAAGAAAGTCTCTGTAAAAGTCTTCCTACTGAAATACCAAAATCTTTCATTTGCAGGGTATACACGAACTACTGTCTCCAGGAGAAAGCGGACTGGCTCCACCACCTCTGTGACTACCATGTCCACTGCCACAGTCATATACACCCTTTTATCTGCAACAGAAAATTTCTGGGTTTTATTATTTCTTGATTAGTAAAGAAAACAAAATCTCCTAGCTTATACAAGAATTTCCATTCTAGAAAAGCACATTGCCTTCTATATATTTACTTTTAAATATTTTCTAACTATTCACTAAATAAGTAATCAAGTATTCCAAGAATGTTTCTCAATCATTGTTTATTCAATCATAATTAAGTAAATATCCTGACAGATGTCTTTTTCCATTTTCTAAATCAAATCCTTAATACAAAAATAAATAAATAAATAAATAAATAAATACCATGGAGAAATTGAGAAATGCACTGGGTTGAATTCCCAGCAACAATAACAATGACGTGTGGTGTGTGTGTGTGTGTGTGTGTGTGTGTGTGTGTGTGTGTGTGTGTGTAAATAAAATGTTGAAGATAACTTTTACTCTAAAATTATTGGTTTCTTAGACAATCACCAGAAAAATACAAGATGCATTCTTTCAACATAAAACAAAAATGACAGAAACTGATAGGTCTATTTGATGACTGCCAACTAGAGGAGCTGCTTAGGCATCTCATTTTAAACCTGTACAGTACAGCACTGCCTATATAAACATCTCCATGTGATGCGAACTAAGACAAAATAAAACCTCTTTGGAATCCTCAATACTTCCATTTGTGTTCATAATACAAATACATCCTTGAAAAAACAATGAATTGAGCTGGAGTGATGGCTCTGTCGGTAACAACATTTGTACACTTGGGTGCAAGAAAAAAAATCCCCGCCGGGCGTTGGTGGCGCACGCCTTTAATCCCATCACTCAGTAGGCAGAGGCAGGCGGATCACTGTGAGTTTGAGGCCAACCTGGTCTTCAGAGCGAGTGCCAGGACAGGCTCCAAAGCTACACAGAGAAACCCTGTCTTGAAAAAACAAACAAACAAACAAAATGCCCAACAAACAAATAAAAAGCCAGGCACAGTTGGTCATACCCACAGTCCTAGTGGTATGGTAGTGCAGAGACAGGAGGATCACTGGGACTTGCTGGCTGCCAGCTGAGCTCCAAATTCAGTGAGAATCTCTGTCTCAAGGAAATAAGACAGAGTGATAGAAGGACACTGACATCCTCTTCTAGCCTCAACATAGGCACACAGGTATGTGCACCCCCCATTCTCACCTGTACCACGTAGGCAGTTATACAAATGCTCACACAGCAAAAATACCATCATTAAAACTTCAGTGAAATATATAGTTTTCACATATATATATGTACATGAGTTTATACACATATATGTTGCATACATGTATACATATTACTTATCATGTAAAAGCAAAAGTATTAAAAGTATTTTAAGGGAAGATAAAGCATTACCAGCCACATTTCTATTTCCTATTTAAAATATTTAATTTGTCCCAAAATTCATATTTAAATGTAGAATATGTTATGCCAGTACCTATTTTTTCAATCATGATAGTCTAAACTATGAATTCCATTTTTATTTTCTGCTTGATACTTACTAAGAATTCTGGATACAAATCAATAATTTCTCCTTTGTCTCTTAAATCTGTTTGTTTTTTGTTTTAGAATCAGAGTCTCAATATGTAACCGTGGCTGGCCTGAACTCAGAGATCTGCCTGACTCTGCCTCCCAACTGCCAGGCTTTAAGGAATATTCCACTACATGCAGCCTTCTTAAATATCTTTAAAATTTGTTTTGACTATCAGTTTTTAATTCTCAGTTTAAAAAATACAAATAACAAAAGCCATCATTAAGAGAAATTATCTGCTTTAAAATTATATACAATATTCATATTCATTAACTACAGTTATAATGCTAGCTTCAAATTCAACATACTAAATTTTACTAAGTGTAAGTATTTACTAAGGACAAGTATCCTACCAATTCAAGAGAACCTCGGAGTCTATAAACTTTGTGCTTCAACTTGAGTACTATAAATGTACAGTGTAAAGAAGAGTACGTAAGATGTGGAATTTAACACTCAAACCAATTGCAGTACAGTGAAATTAAAAGACATTTCATCTCTATTGCCTAAAATTTTTCCAAAAAATCAAGCCTTCTTTGTCTTGTGAATGCTGAGTAATGTATAATTTCAAAAATGTCTTTTAAAATTTTTTAAAAAGCATGTTAAAATGATTTCAAACAGAAACACCATCTGGATCTAAACAGTATACTATAGTAGTATAAAAAGCTTATTTTAATAAAACAAAGTATAAACATTCTTTTAATTGAGGATAAAATGCATAAAAATAGAAAGAAAAACATGTAATGCTTTAATAATGACATTTTAGTTTCTTTAATTTTTAACAATTGTTAAGTGGCTTATTTTTCTCAACTTTATATTTTCTTTCTCAATGGTTATAAGAAAAAAAGGTTATATAGTGCTGCTACAAGCCTGTCTCTAAAGTAAACTCTATAACAATAATTTGTTACTAAAATGAATAAGACTGAATTTTAAAAATTGTTTCTTATTTTCTTGTGTATGTGTGCATTTTCAAGTGTGTGCATGTTTACATGTGTATAGGGAGGAGGAGTATGAGTGTTCATGTGTGTGCTCATGTTTACAAGTGTGTGGGGATGCAGCATGTTTGTTTATATGTGTAGGACAAAACATGAATGTTTCTGTGTGCATATTTATATAGGGGGAGGGATCATGCATGTTCATGTATGTGTGTTTACATGTGGGGAGAGCACTGTATTCAATATATGTTTTCATTTTTACAGAAAGAGCATATGTGTTCATGTTTACATGTGAGGGGGCAGACAACTTGAGTATGTGAAAGTGTGCATGTATAAATGCATGTATGAAAGGCAGCACGTGTTTATGTGTGTGCATGTATACGTATGGGAGGAAGGAGCTTATGTGTACATGAATGTGCACATTTACATGTGTGTGGGGAAGGAAGCATGTGTGTACATCCGTATGCATATTTACATGGAAGAACAATGAGTATGTGCAGGTGTACATGCGCATTTTCCCTGAACATGGAGACCCAAGTGTTGATACTGGGAATCCTCTTTTTTGTTGTTGTTGGCGGTCTTTGGGTTTTGTTTTGTGGTGGGTTTGTTTTTTTGTTTTCTTGGGTTCTGTTTTTTTTGTTTGTTTTGTTTTGTTTTTGAGGCATAGTCTCTCAATCAGACCTAGATCTTCAACTCAGCAAGTCTAGCTAGCCAGCTTCCTCCAGGGATCCCCTGCCTCCTCCTCCAAGGCTGGAATTATGATAGGTTCCCATGCCCACCAAGCACTTACTTGGTTAGTGAGGATCTGAATTACTGTCCCCTTGCTTGCTTAACAAGTAAATGCTTTAATTGCCTAGATATGTTCCCAATTCTTTTAGATAGCATAGTATGTAATCAAATGCATGTGCTTTATGTAACCAGTGAACACCCATTCTCTTTACAGACAACAGAGAACAGTTATGATTGTAATGTTCTTCATAAGAAGATCATATTTTCCTATGAGTTATCATTGATGCTTCTTGTCTTTAGCCAAAAGTTAAATATGGGCATAAACTTAATAGCGTAAAGTTAAAAATGAAACAAGTTGATGTATTACATTCTGATCATACATATTTAACTGAATGAAAATAACACATTTTCAGTAAAACTATAAATGAAGTAAAACTTTAAATTTAGTTTAAGCAGATCAAGGATCTAAAATCTAGACTGAATAATTAATGAAAATGTAAATAATCTACAATGCTTAGTCAAAATGGTGAACAAAGATATGCAAATTTCAAAAACTTGTTTGCTTACATATTTCATCTTCCTCTATCACTCTCACCCAAATAAAACAACCAGCTTCACAACAATATATAAAGCACAAAGTCAAATGCCTTTCAAATAATCTAATACAACTAAACAACATGGCTTGTAAAGGAATTCTTTTAACTAATGACAGTTTTCCCCAGAAAAGGCATGAAAAAATATAAAAAGGAACTTCATAAATATATACCAGCATTATAAATAAGAATAGCTTCAATTTAAATAAGCATCAGTACTTTCTAAAAGTGTCACAAAACAAGATTACTCACAATAAAATTTTAAAGTTAAAAAAATATTTTAAGAAAAGTCACCTTTTGGGGTTTCTTCATTAAGTGCCAGAAATATTGGTGCATTAGGGTTCCACATGCCTGTGATGACATAAGCTCTGCCATCATAGCTCTTTCCCATGGATTCCTATAAAATGTCAAACAGGAATCATGGATGCTACTATGCACAAGAAAAATTATCACACTTTAAAATTATACCTTTAATCATTTTAATTTATTAAAATGTGTATCTACACTCAAATAGGAGCTTACATTTTACTGCATATTTTCCCCTACCAAAGCATCTCTTTGCGTACTGTTATATTCTAGCTATCTTCAAACACAGGTTCAATATAAACACATATACTTCTTGCATGAAAAGAGGCATACCCATTCATGCTGAGTCACAAAAACTTAAAGTTGTAAAGGTATATTAAATGTGATTCTTTTGCTTGCTGTCAAAATATCTTTATATAAAAGGCCACAATATAAATACCTGCACTAAGTTTAATTCCCACAACTCTTTCACACACACACACACACACACACACACACACACACACACACACACACACACACACACAATTATCTACAGGAGGACTCAACCACAGATGGGAAAAGTGGTAATGTTACTTTACTTTATGGCGATATCTTCAAACTTCAAACTTTTCTAGTATCTATAATTCAATAAGAAATCACAGTGGAGAGACTGTTTATAATCAACAAATATAGTTCTAGCTCTCTTCATCTTTCCTCTTCTTCTACCACTCTACCCCCTCTTCCTCAACCTGGCTCTCTTCACACCTCTCTTTCCTTCTTCCTGCCTTCCCACAACTTTTTTTCTCTTCTCTCCTTATCCCCTCCAATTTAATGTTTTTATACTTAGCTAGCTCTTGACTACTGAAAGCAAGACCATAAATGAGTTTTGCAAATATGTTTCAGAGAAGGCAAGGCAAAATGGCATCTCATGGAAGAACACCACAGAAGTTTGGTAACATATGCAAATACAAATGAATGCTATCTACAGAACTTTCCATTTTTGTATTTTCTTGTACTATGAACAGTGAAAAAAGAAAGAGATCAGAACAAAGGAAACTTTTTTCCATTCCTCATAGACATTTCTCTGAATTCCTATAAAACTGTGTCAGTCACTTGATTATTATATTCTTCTAGTATAGAACTATCAATTTGATAGTCAAATTTTATAAGGCCAAGAATCCTGCATCCCAGAGATGAAGTAAATGAAAGACATTTGTAAAGAAATTCTCACCCACTAAGCAAGTTCACTCTCCCTCTACCTCTCCTTCATATATCACCCCTCCCTCTCTCTCTCCATCCCTCCCCCTCCCTCCCTCCCTCCCTCCCTCTCTCTCTCTCTCTCTCTCCCTCTCCCTTCCTCCCTCCCTCCTAGTTCTTCACTATCTACACTAACTAGTCCCCATTAAGAATAGGAATGAGCTTCTTGCTTAAAAGATACAATCTATTTGTGTATGCTTGAATATTTGCTGTACTTAAGTATAGAAAAAATGAACCAGATTAATCATAACCTTCCTTTCAACTAACAAATACAGAAATTGGGAAGTTAACCATGGAAGCGTAAAAATTTCAGTAAGAACTGAATCTGTGACAAGCCACATACAAACTAGCAAAAAACTATGAAGTGAAAATATAAAGAACAGCTTTAGGTGTACTAGGAAACTGTTAAAAGAGATGAGAGAAATGAAGAAAATAGACACTAAAAAACACTTTTAAACCAGGTATGCTTGTGCGGAAGTACAACCCCAGCCAGTATTCAGAAACCGAGGAGAGATTCTGAGTTACAGCCAAGCTTAGGGTTACACAGCAAGGTGCTCTTAAAATAACAAAAAACTTTAAAATTATATATCATCCAGACTAAACACAGAGACAGATGAAAGGAAAAGAAGGAGAAAAGGAGAAGCAAATAGAATGAGATCCGCAAAACAAATACGGCATGGAGGGTGGCACGTTATCACACACATACAGATGAACTGCTTCAGGAAACTGTACCTCCATGTTTTCCACACACATACACATTCCAAGTATACTGGATTACAATATGAAATGTGTCTTTTTAATCTAGTCAACATATGATTAATTATAAAGATCCACATACTCTGGAGCATCTCTAATAAATTGTGATCCAACTCCATGGAACCTAGATTTACTGAGTTTTCTGTCTTTTGTGGTATTCGGCAGTTAGGCTTTTCCTGAGTTATCATTAGTTATGGTTAGAACCACTTACTTACTTCCTATCCTATAACTTCTCTGACCAAAGATTCTCATTATCAGCAGAATATTAAGTCTCTGTTACCTATACTCCAGTTCTCAAAAAAAAAAAAGATTTTGTTGAATGTGATTTTATGTGTGTGCATGCATATATATATACACATATATACATAACACACAAATACAAAAGGAACTATTTGTTTATGATCTGATTCTGTTACATTAACAGGATTTAGAATCACCTAGGAGACAAGCCTCTAGATGTATCTGTAAGGATGATTCCAAAGAAAGTGAAGTGAGAAACACCCACCCTGAACATGTCAGACATATTACATGCCCCAGAGGTCAGGACTGGATGGAAGACAGAGGAACAAGCCAGCATATCCTTCCTTTGATTCCTGGTCTTCCCAGGTGTGAGGAATCCTACCTGGATGTTATTTCTACCTAGAACTCTACCTATCATGCCTTTCCCTGCTATGAAAGACTGTACCATCTTCAACTATAAAGTCAATAAATCCTTCTTCCCTTCCATTGCTTTCCATCTTGTTTTCTGTCATAGCAGTGAGTAAACTAACAAATACAGTGTCATTTGTAAGCATGACTTTCCCCTTTGTAAAGATCTTAAACCACAATAATAGGTTTAAAAACTATAAAAGTCTCAATTCACCTTATTAAAAAATATGCATGTGGAAGAAAAGTCATTAATACTTAAAAATTGTTCAATGAACCCAAGAGGTAAGTACCACTATTGCATCATTGGGAGTATCTTGCTGGTTGGGTTATTGCAATAGTTTGTCAGTCAAGCAGCTGGGTAGAACTACGGATTACATTTCTCCTCTGGCATCTTGCATAACTGGACTTAAGGCCCATGTAATGCAAGATAATCCATGCATGGGACCATAAACCTAGCCATGAATGGAGAAGTCACAGATCCTAAAGGATAAAGTTATTACTATCATTTTTAAGTCAATATAATTTCCAGTGGTATTCTAAGCATCTACTGTTATACCTACAGATAAGTGAAACCCTTAATACTCATTAAAGGGGCTTCTTTTTGCAGCAGAAACTATTACAAAAAAATAACCACAACTGGTCAAAATGCAGAGAATGACCATGGGGTGCCCAGTCCCAAATGGGAAATCTACAACACAACCCCAATGCTTAAAGCTCAGAGAAATTCAGGGGAAATGGAGAGAAAAGATTCTAAGAGCCAGAGGACCAATGGGCATGACAAATATGCTACATCCTGGTTGCCTAAAAAAGACTAACAATGACCACACTGCATGCCATTGAAATTGTAGGAAATTTCATAAGGCCCTATCCCTAGATGAAGAGAAATGGGCAGTCAATGTTTGCTACAAGAGAGAAAAATCACTATTTTCTAGGGATGAACTTCCTGAATTGTTATCAAATATCAAGTGATCATCTCTAAACATATGCATATATACCAGCAACACTAATATAACACTAAACAACTCAGGAAGTTGTGACTATATACATGTGTGTTTGTATGTATATAACAGTAACAATTACATAAGAAATCATGAATCCAAGAAAGAGAGAAGGGGAGCAAGGGGGTAGAAATTATGTAAATTTAGCTTACTCAAGTATAAAAATCTAAAAATAAATTTTTAATCATAAAATATTGTTCACTAGGAAAAAAAGGTTTCACAAACTGTTAAATATAAATTTGCATGCCTCTCAAAGCCTGTTAATATAAACGAAGTGGCAGAAAACTTGTTTTCAGTTTCACAAGACATTTGGGTATGTCATAGGAGCAAAAATATTAACATCTTACTCAAAAGAGCAAAGCCGAAAGTATTTAGGCAAAGTTGCAAAAAGTATAACTTGTGCTTATTACAAAGAATAACTTGTCGATAACCAGAACCATCTCCTCAGTTTCAATATAAGGTACTGAGTTCCTTGTTACTTGCCAGAATCTAGCCAAGGGTCCACAACAACTTATTAAGATATTATTAAGATTAATAACACCAGATAACAGTAATTCACCAACTACTGATAATTAAAAATGCAAAGCCTAGGTCTCCCAACTATTTGTTGTGCAGGTCTACTTCTCTTTCCAGGAAAATGAATACTGTAAAGGTCTCTGAGGTGACTAAGGAGCCTCAAAAGTTCAAATCAGTTTTATACAACTCTATAATCTGTTTTTAGGTTTTATGAGGAAAATCTCTAGCAATGATTCATCTTAATCCTTTAGATTCTGAAAAATCATAACTAGAACCTAGTATTTTAAACTTTTTCTAATGCCTCAGTACTCTCAAAATAACCCCATCATGAAATTCTCATGCCTCCAAAATGCTATGGCTTGCTTTAGGAAAACCAACATTCATTACTGATATTTGTAGAGAAGGGTAAAGGAGAGATGGATCAATAACTAATTTATGCTTACACATCCAATGTAATTGGTTGTCCTCGCCTGACCTATCTAGGCAGTACTTCCTCTCTATGTCCACGGCGCATGTGGAAGTTTGAAAGAAAATGGCCCCCAAAGAGAGTGGTTCTATTAGGAAGTGTGACTTTGTTGAAGTAAGGTTTGGTCTTGTTGGAAGAAGTGTGTGGATGTGGAGGTGGGCTTTAAGGCCTCATATATGCTCAATCCATGCCCAGTGAGACAGATCACTTCCTATTGCCTGCAGGATTAAAATTTAGAACCCTCAGCTCCTTCTCCAGCACCATGTCTGCCTGCATGTTGCCTTGCTTCCAGCCATGATAATAGACTAAACCTTCAAACTGTAAGCCACCCAAATTAAATGTTTTTTTTTATAAGAGTTGCAGTGGTCATGGTGTCTCTCCAAAGCAATAGAAATCCTAAGACAGCACACTATACACTTGAGAAAGCTCTTAACCCACTGCTGTAATTACATACCTAAAAAGGTCTAATTCTATCACAAAACTAAGAGCCCACTGCTACTAAGAGCTATATTTTACACAAATCTAAAACCCAATACTTCATGCAATGTTTAGCATACAAACAGAGGCTCAAAATTTTTAACAAAGCATTTAAGTATTGCTAGAAAAATTAATGCTAATATAATTACCATGAAATAATTATAGGAAAAGATTCCCACTGCAATACTTAAATTTATGAGACACAGTTGAAATGAAATATATAAAAAGATATAAAATATATAAAAGTTTGTACTCACAAAGTAAGGAATTTTCTGCTTACTCAGACACATTTCTGTAACATTCTAAATCACAAAGTGAATGTTTTCATTAACAGCAACATCAGAAGGTACTTGGGTTTAAGAGTTAAGATGCCTTGCTGCCTTCACAACAAATACCAATCCCTGATCATGTATCATTAATCTCTTAATGGCATCCCTTAAAGAAATATAGTAAATATTCATTGCTAAGTACAAACTTTGAAAGAAATATGCTTCAAAGAAAACAAGCATCATCACAGCCCGGAGTTGACAGTGCATTAAATAAGTGAAAGATGGGAGGTAAATAATGTAGATGTTTACTATAACCATGTTTGTTATTTTAGGCTCAAGGAAAAGAAATTTTCCTAAGAAGCCAAACAAAGCAGATGGCACTGTCACAATAGGTTCCTTTTATGTACTTTCATCCTACAGAAGATTGTTAGGTAGAAATATTCCTCATCTTCCCTTGGTAAGTAATTTTGAATGTCCAGATTTAATTATTGCTCACACAAAAGTAAACCCTGACAATATGACAAACTTTTAAAATAGAAGATTCTTTTAAATATAAAATAACTATCTTCTATACTTGATTAGGATGCTTAAGGTTGTCATTACCATATCCAGCAAATGCATGTCACTGTTCTTCACGTTTCGACCTGGGCTTAATAACATTCCAAAACATCTGAAAATATTGGGAAAAAGAAAAGGAAAAATAAGGTATCAAGAACACAGAAGGCCAGTGAGCAAAAGCCTTTTCATAATTACTATACAATCTAAATTTTATACTCACAAATAGCTTTGTTTATTTTTGCTAGAACACAATAAATAAGAACTCAATATACATAACAAAGTTATTTATGAATCATAAAAATAAGCTGTCAAAATTTTCAGGTCTTTATTTTATAAATAAAAATAACCAAGATCAGAAATTGCCCTAAAAGTACAATTAATTTATTAAAAGTTAATAAATTATTGATATGGTAGTAAGATATAGTTATTAGAAAAATAAAAGATTTTATTTGCCTTTTAATTATTTCAAAACCAGAGATAATAACAGATTAATCCAGGCAAGTAAAATAAAAGTACTTTTAAGATAAGAAAAACATACTATGCTCTCTCTGCATAAAGCCAGATTAACAAAATAAAATTTATAGTTCCCTGGCCCTCAAGATTCATGTTGAGAGAAAAACCAATTACATAAACCTCATTACTAACTGTCACATACTGGTGACAATATTATCTAATATGTGATAATAATTAATAATTATTACCTACTATCTGTGCTTCCTGGTGCTAACATAGCTTCAGGAATCCTGTCAATACTACTTTATTTGGAAAAAGTTTTCCAAAAGCTCTAAAATTCAGCTTTTTTTCTAATTTCTAGGCTATTAATAACTCCACTAGGTAAGCAATGCCATGCCCAGATCAGTTAAACAATGCACTCAAATATGTATTGCTATTAAATAGGTCTCACAACTCAATAATCACTGTAACCTGTTCAAAGTGTCATTCTGCCAATGTATACTCACACTTAATAGTTACTTTAACCATAGAAATCCTAAAATATAAAAAAATGCTATGCATAATTTTATATAGGGGGTAAAGAATATAACTAAATAAAACAAAAAGGTTTTAAAATTTCAAAATAGTGCCAGAAGTGGGATATATAGCTCAGGAGTAGGGAGGTTGTTTGGAATACATAAGGTCCTAGGTGTGATCCCTAACACATTTAAGAAATAAAGTCTTGATTTTTATACTGGCAGCTGGCCAGTCAACATGTAATCTGCTCCTTCCTGTGACAAAAAGGCTTGCTTTCCTAGCGGCACATTTCTACACAAGCATGATTCCAGTAAGTAGTGATTATACTTGCTGCAAGTGCAGGGAATGCCCTACTCAAGGCTCCCTTTCGGTGTCCAGCAAAGACCATGACTATAGCCAACAGAAAGCAGATAAACAAGCCGGACATTGGTGGCACACGCCTTTAATCCCAGCACTTGGGAGGCAGAGGCAGGTGGATCTCTGTGAGTTCACCCTCAAAACTTACAAAAAACCCCGGTCCAGAAAAACAAAAACCCCCCAAAAAAAAAAAAGAAAATAATTTTCCAAACACATTCTTGTACCATTGGAAGCAAAGTTAAAAGCAATTTGTTCTAATATTCAAAATTTTAAATTACACTATCTCCTTTACATTTAATTCTATCATTTGCTGTATTAGTTCTTCTGCTGTCACCTTATCTCTTGCTAACAATAATTAGTAATGTAATTGTTGTTCATATGTACAGTGTGTGTCCTAAGGTCAATCAGGGTGGTGGGTTTATCTCATACTCTCTTGCCTGTTCTGTTCTCTTCAGCATCTCCTTGGCTATTTTATGAATGAGCTTCTAGATTCTAAGGGTTTTTTTTTTTTTTAAGGTACAAACATGAAAGTACTGTTAAAAAAATTTTTTTAAATCTATTTCTCAGCCAGGTGTTGGTGGCGCACACCTTTAATCCCAGCACTCGGGAGGCAGAGGCAGGTGTATCTCTGTGAGTTCGAGGCCAGCCTGGTCTACAGAGCAAGTTCCAGGGCAGGCTCCAAAACAATATGAAGAAACCCTGTCTTGAAAAACAAAACAAAACAAAACAAATCTATTTCTCAAGGCCCCTGGCTAAACCAATGCCAACAATTTTTAATATATCCTCTCTTCTTTTATTGTTTTGGAAAATATAAAGTATCACACTATTACTTCTCGATCACTTGGACATAAAAGGCAAAACTATAATTTTTATATTATCTTAGCATAATAATCCTATATTCCAGTTTTACATAATAGTCCTGTTTTATAGTTTGTAACAAAAAATAGCCTTGAAAGTTCAGATTTCCTTTAGATAGAAATGCTCATCACATTAGTGATCTTTGGTGCACTTCTCTTATAAACAAAAAAAAAATGTCATCCAGTAGTATGACATTTGAAAATGCTTTACCTAATTAACACCACTGGGTCTCTGCTTTCTCTTCTAGAAAACAACAGAAGTACAACATAGGAACTTTACTTCCTCCAGCAATAAAATTAGACATTTTTTTACCAAAAACTACTAGTCATTTTCAAAATTAAACTTCATTAAAACACATAAGACTTCTTATAGATGCCGCAAAAATACAGGAACTAGGATAGTTATTATTAGTAACATAACACCTAATGTCAATATTAAATGGTTCTTTGGGGATTTCAGAGCATTCAAATTTCTTTAGTTAACTCGGTGAGCAAGGCAGGAAAGGAAACGGCTGTCCCACCTATATTCTCAATGAGAGCACAGTCCAACAGGAGAGAAAAGTGAACAGGCAATTACTATCAAATATGGTAACTTCTATGATCCAGTAATGGCAAAATGGCTGACTGGTTGGTTGGTTTGTTTTAAAGACTAAATTTTATTATCAAATTATAAGTGTTTACGTGTGTGTGTGTGTGTGTGTGTGTGTGTGTGTGTGTGTGTGTAGGGGCTATGTGCTTGTTGTGGTAGATTCTCTTAAACTGGAGTTACAGGTGGTTGTGAGCAACCTGATGTGGGTGCTGAGAACAAAACTTGGGTTCTCTTCAAGAGATGTATACTCTTAATTGCCAGTCAGCTCTCCAACACTGGCTTGCTTGCTCACTTGCTTGCTTACTTGTTTTTGAGACAGGGTCTCCTATATTATAGGCTGACTCAGAAACAACTCACAAGTGCTAGAATTACAGATCTGTAATCTGTAATCTGCATGAACACCCACTTTCCTTATGAAATTTCCTATTGCAAGATATTAATGCAATATTTAATTGTGCCACCATGGCCAGTTTGTATTGGTGCTGGAGTTAGAATTCTGGACTTCAAAAACAGGCTAGTTAGTGTTCTAGCAGTGGAGTGATGTTCCCAGACCATTATAAATTGTCAATAAAGTGAAGAGTAGACACCCATGCATTACCTTTAATATTGCAAAAAGATAGACGAAAATTTGATGTCAAACATCCTGAGAATGAAATGATGTTAACCCATTAACAATAATTATAAACATTATAGTAGCAGCCATTTTTTGCCAGATATACTATACTACTGTTTTTATATTTCCAAACTGATCTCATATACCTAAATAATAAAATTAACTTTCAGGAAGAAGTGATTTGTCCAAAGTCAGACACTGAGTTACAGGATTAGGTGTTAATCTTATGTCTCCCACTACAAAACTCTATGGTCCTTGATTCATAGTCAGTGCCTTGCTAAGTGATCATTAGAAAAGACTATAAATTCCCTTTTATAGGTCCCTGAAAATAAGATAGTTTTGTAACTATCTTACTGTTTTAGATTCTTTAGTTTCAAATACAAACTCAGATTGTGATTTTTTAATGAAAAATTTAATTGTAGTCTTATTACCCTGAAAAATTATGACTGACTTACAGATTTATTATACATATGCTTACCCCTTCTGTTATATTGTCATGTTGTCTGCTCCCTCCCCTTTCCTTTCTTTAATTCCAGGTCCCTGCTATGTATCCCAAATTACCCCCAAACTCATTATCCATTGCCCCAACCTTGAACCTTATCAAGGCACAAACATTAAAAGCTTCATTTTCCACATTTCCAAATACCAAGTCTCAACCTGTGCTCATTATGTTAATATAAGGGTGACATGAAAAACACTTATAGTGCAAGTGAACTGTAAACCATAACACAGTTCAAATTATAAATTACTTTTACAATTACCACTAAGAAAATATCTACCTTTCATAATACTTAGAATTTTTACTTAAAATGACTTTCATCATCTTTATCATTGAGTTATTATCTATAACAAACACCAAAATTCATCATTTCTAGTATTGCCTTAGCATTAATTATAGGAAATGTGGAAAAATTAAATATTGCATTAATATCTTGCAATAGGAAATTTCATAAGGAAAGTAGGTGTTCATGCAAACAGTTGAGGCACATTAGTCACTTCTGTCAATTCTGCAACTGACATAAAAAAAACCTTCTCAAAATCCAAGATTGTACATGCCAATCACGAGCCAGCCTTAAAAGGAGGCCTTTAGGAATACCAATTTCAGACAAGATAACTAATTATTTTCTACATATACCTATTTTTATATTTATATTTTAAATATGGCTAAGTAAATAGATTAATACAAAACAGTATCTTTATATAACATAATATAGGTCCATGGAAGCACAATTCCATTTAAAACAACTGAACCAAGGTATATGAAGTTTTCAACAGTCACCATAAAAAAAAACTGCCTATACTATAGTGTAATTAGTCACCTAAATATAAACCTTAGAGAGAACAGGAAAATAATACTTAGAAAAACAATATCAAAAAAGATAAATAAGTTTAAAATTCACTGAAAATAGAAAAAAATAATTATCTAACGCACAGAAAGTAGGAAAATAATAATTAGAAAAATAACATGAGAAAAAGACAAGTTTAAAATATACTAAAATAGAAATAGAATAGAAATAAAATAGCAAAATAAATATCTAAAGAATAAATGTAATTTTTTACTTACAAAAAAAGATTGACAAGTACCAGAAAGATAGATCAGGGAATAAAGACACTCACTAGTGGCCAAGCTTGACAACCTGAACCTGAGTTAAGTCACCAGCTCACACATGATGGAAGAAGATGGAAGGGGAAAACCAACTCCTGCAAGATTTCATATCTGAACCCAA